CCAAATAAAAAAAAAAAAAAAAAAAAAAAGAAAGGATGTTTAGTTTTGAATTGTGTATATTTTCTTATAATGTGTGAATATTTTGCAAGTAACATTTCCTTAATTTCTTTCTAGTTTTTCTCATGACAGGATCAATGGAAGTGAAAACAAATGGTTTTCATGCCCCTTGTCAACATTTTAATTTCACTGTGGCCCCTCTGGCTGATCACGTGGAGGACTATAACGCTACCTGTCATCTGAAATCCCACACTAGACACTCGTCAGTCCTGGAAGAAGAGCCAGCCAAGGAAAAATCTGCAAACCATTGTAGAATTATGGAATACCTGAATAATTGTGTACATGTTTCTTTGCACCTGGAAATGGATGTAAAAAGTAAGTTTTAAAGGAATAAACAGATATAGACAGAAAATTAAGTAGGGGCTACCATATTAACTGAAACTCAAATAAGTTGAAGAATTTTATTGCTGAAAAAATGATTTGAAAGAATGCTGGTCCTTTTTTTTGTTTGTTTGTTTTTTGTGACAGAGTTTGCTCTGTTGCCCTGGGTTGAGTGTGGAGGAGTCCTAGCTTACAGCAACCTCAAACTCTTGGGCTCAAGCAATCCTCCTACCTCAGCCTCCAGAATAGCTGGGACTACAGGTAGAACCCCAACGCCTGGATAGTTTTTTCTATTTTTAGGAGAGACAGGGGTCTCACTCTTGCTCAGGCTGGTCTTGAACTCCTGAGCTCAAACAATCTACCCACCTCAGCCACCCGAAGTGCTAGGATTACAGGCGTGAGCTGCTGTGCTTGGCTAGAATGCTGGTCTTTTTGTTTATTTTTCTTTTAAAATGTGATTTTTATGGGACCCAGCTGTGACCTGAGGCAGAGGAAGTCTTTATGGGTCAGGATTTGAGGGGACTAGAGGGATTCTCTGTCCCACAATAACTTCCAGACATGAATATTAGCCATGCCGGAAGTAATGCCACCACACTTGGTACTGAAGTGTGAGATTTCCTTGGAAGTGTAAATATCCACGCACATGATTATATGCTATTTAATTTTTCTTTTATGTTGGTTTAACATGTCCTCTCTTAAAGGTGAGAACCAGGTCTAGATGAATTGGGATTTTTGATGCTGGCAAGATAGGATGAGGTACAGATGAGGCATCTGAAGTCACTGGGTGACTCTGTGGAACAAGTGGGAGACTGAAAGAGAATTCTCACATGTGTTGTGAATCTGTTGAAGGCTGGTTAACTTCCTAGTTTACCCGATTCTGAATCATTGGAATTTATCCTTTATACTAAGCAGTGTACCGCCACTTCACTCGTAAAAATCTACTCTTGGAAATAGGATATATTCATTTAATGAGTGCCTGCTGTATGCCAGGCAGTGTGCTCTTCATTGGAGATGCAGTTAGAGCCTCACGTGCATGAGCGGGAGCCACAGGAGCTATGCTAGAGTAACAGGCCATCCTTTTTGATAGTCCAGACATGTGGAAAGTTTTCAGCTTGCTTTAGAATGCCTTATCTAAAGCATTATTATATTAATGGCAATTCTTTTAAAAGTATTACATTTAGCTGGGCGTGGTGGCTCATGCCTGTAATCCTAGCACTTTGGAAGGTTGAGGTGGGTGGATTGCTAGAACTTAGGAGGTTGAGACCAGCCTGATCAAGAGTGAGACCCTATTTCTATTAAAAATACTGGCTCAGCGCCTATAGCTCAACTGTTAAGGCGCCAGCCATGTACACCTAAGGTGACGGGTTCGAATCCCCAGCCTGGACCCGCCAAACAACAATGACGGCTGCAACCAAAAAATAGCTGGGCGTTGTGGCGGGCACCTGTGGTCCCAG